AGTATGTGTGTATATATATGTAAATATGTATATATATAAATATGTATATAAATAAATAAATATATATATGCCATAGTGTTGCTTTCTAAAAGTTTGCTTGCCAGCACAGCCCTCATGACCAAGGGATCAGGGTGGAAAGAAGGACTGAGATGGAGTGGGGAGTGAGCCGCAGAGCATCAGGGTAGGGAAGCTAGTACTGTGTTCTTGGGAATAAAGGGGGAATTAGGAGGAGAATTGAGACTGGTGAGACATGCGACTTGGTTAAGATGCTTGGAAGAAAAGGTACAGGTATGAGCCCTAGCCGGTTTTGCTCAGTGGATAGAGTGGCAGCCCATGGACTGAAGGGTCCCAGGCCTTTGGGGCGCGTGTGGGAGGCAACCAATCTGTGTGAGAGATGTTTCTCTCTCTCTGTCTCCCTCCTCCCCTCCCTTCCACTCTCTGAAAACCAATGGAAAAAATATCGGGTGAGGATTAACAATAAAAAAAGGTTCAGGTATGAGAAAATGGTGGCTGGCTGAAGTGATGGTTAAGGTAGAGGGAGAGGGCTTCCTGTTCCAGCCCAAGACCCTCTTGAAATATATGAAATCTTCAAGAATGCATGAATGAGACCCTGATATACCTGTAAGGAACTCGTTTGGGTCCAGCCCTCACAAGTAGCAAATACAGACACTTTTTTTTTTTAAACAGCATTACTGAGGCATAAAAGATATACAGGAATTAGCAAATACTAAAACCATACGATTTGATACGTCTTGTCATATGCATACAACCATGAAATCACCACAATCAAAATAGTGAACACATGCAGCAACCCCCAAAAGTTTTCTCCTTCCCTTGGTAACACCCCCTCTCCTCCCACAGCCCCCTCCCAGCGGTCTGCTTTCTGTCGCTAAGAGTAGTTTTCATTTTCTAGAGATTTTATTAAGTGGAATTATACAGAATGCACTCTTTTTTTGGTCAGGTTTCTTTCACTTATTTTGAGACTTACCTGTATTACCATGTGTGTCAATATTCCATTTCTTTTTGTGCTAAGTATTCCATTGGATATATATGCCACAATTTGCTTATCTGATGGGCATTTGGGTTCAGTTTTTTACTATTACAAATAAAACTGCTGTGAACACTCATGTATAAGTATTTACATGGACATATTTTTTTTTCTTTCATGGTAGGTGTATGTTTAACAGTTTCAGAAACTGCTACATCGTTTGCAGAGTGGCTAAACCATTTTGCATCCCTACCAGCAGTGTATGAGAATGACATTGTTGACATACCGCTTTTAACAGGTTTCTAGTAAAACAGAATGAGAAAGTTAATCAAAAGTTAATTCTCATGTACCAAGGGAGGGGGTTTTGTTGACCTTTTACCCAGGGGTGATGATGTGAATATAGATCTTCTGGGTGGTTTAATCAAGAAAACCAAACAGGCCCTGACCGGTTTGGCTCAGTGGATAGAGTGTCGGCCTGCGGACTGAAGGGTCCCAGGTTCGATTCCAGTCAAGGGCATGTACCTTGGTTGCGGGCACATCCCCAGTAGGGGGTGTGCAGGAGGCAGCTGTTCGATGTTTCTCTCTCATTGATGTTTCTAACTCTCTATCCCTCTCCCTTCCTCTCTGTAAAAAATCAATAAAATATATATTAAAAAAAAAAAAGAAAGAAAGAAAACCAAACAGTTTGTTGGGTTTGCCAAAACAACCCTAGACCCAGCTGTACGTAGTCCATACCAGCTCACACTGGAGCGGTCCCTCTAAGTTAGGTAAGGAACTCAGAGGTTTCCAGAGAGATCAGGAGTGATAAGACAGGCATGGGAAACGAGATAAGATTCTCAAGAATGAAACTGATAGGCCATCCACTAATAGTCTACCTGGTTTCTCTTTCCTATTCCATTTTCTGTTGGGGAAAACCAGGCCAAATGAACATATGTCTGATTTAGGCATAGAGACGTGGTTCTTAATTTTTTTCAGATAATGATGAAAACTATGGAACTTTCCCTTAGAAAGTTGAACATGAAGATCCATATGTGAACTTTTGCTTATCATGTATAATATTGTATTGGAAATAAATTTGATACGCTATATACACAATCTTTGCAAATAATTTCAGCCCTAGCTGGTTTGGCTCAGTGGGATAGAGCGTCGGCCTGCGGTCTGAAGGGTCCCAGGTTCGATTCTGGTCAGGGGTGCATGCCTGAGTTGCAGGCTTGATCTCCAGTAGGGGATGTGCAGGAGGCAGCCAATCAGTGGTTCTCTCTCATCATTGATGTTTCTATCTCTCTTTCCCTCTCCTTTCCTCTCTGAAATCAATAAAGATACATATTTTAAAAAAAGAATTAATTTCAATGTAAATATCAATTTCCAGTTCCAAGTTAAAAAGGAACATAAATCCAAATTGTGAAGCCACATTTAAAAATTAACTTTTCTTTTGATCAGATCAGTATTAACAAGTAGGCTGCTGCTGTGGTTTTTTTTTTTTTAACATGACATTTAAAAAAAATATTTTTATTTCAGAGAGGAAGGGAGAAGGAAAGAGATAGAAACATCAATGATGAGAGAGAATCATTGATTGGCTGCCTCCTGCATAACCCCTACTGGGGATTGAGCCTACAATCTGGGCATGTGCCCTTGACCAGAATTGAACCTGGGACCCTTCAGTCTGCAGGCCAACGCTCTATCCACTAAGCCAAACCAGCTAGAGCAACAATATGACATTTTTAACACATTAACGTGCATGTCCAATTGACTTCGACTTTAAAAAAAACAGAACCAGTGTTGAAAAATCAGGTTCAGAAAAGGAAATATTGGCCACTATAATCAGAGTTCCCAAAGAAACACCAGACTTCCCCAAGACCTTTAAAGTTGAATTCAGATCAGGTAATCTCCTTTATCTTCAACCAATGAGGTCATTGGCAACAGTATGAAAAATCTTCAATTCTAAGTAACTGAAAATCAAGTCACAGCAGTTTAAACAACCCTTGGTTTGTCTTTCTCACAATGTTGTAGATTGAACTGTGTCCTGGAAAAATATATGTTCAAAACCTAACTTCTGGTACCTGCAAATGTGACTTTATTTGGAAATAGGATCTTTGTAGATGTAATCAACTTAAGACGAGGTCATACTGGATTAACATGGGCCCTAATCCAACCACTGGTGACCTTATAAGAAAAGGTAAATTCAGACACAGAGGAGAGGTGCCATGTGAGCATGGAGGCAGAGACTAAAGTGAAGCATCCACAAGGCACAGAACACCAAGGATGGTCGACAGCCATTAGAAGTTAGGGCCAGGTAGGGGCCAGATCCTTCAAAGGGAGCATGGCCCTGCCAGCACCTTTATCTTGGACTTCTAACCTCCAGACCTGTGAGAATACATTTCTGTTGCATGAAGCCACTCTGTTTGTGGTACCAGAAGTGGGGTGCTGCTGTAACAAACACCCAATAATGCAGATGTGTATTGAAATTGGGTAATGGCTAGAGGAGTTTTAAGGCTCATGATAGAAAAATAACTAGGATGCCTTGAAGAGATTGTTAGTAGGAATATGGACATGAATGGTGATTCTTGAGGGGGCTCAGAAAGAAGTGAAAAGGACAGTGAGAACTGCCCTCTCATCTCAGAGAATACATCTGTTGTCATGAACAGAATGTTACTAAAAACCATGAGCATTAGAGATACTTCTGGTGAGGACTCAGACAGAAACAAGGGCTTGGTTCTTACAGACCCTGGTTCAGAAGCGAGGACATTTCTTCCTATTTATGATCACTGAGTTGGGTAGCCGATCCCAGACTCAGAGTGACCTAAGCGCTCTTGAAGTGCTCGGGAGAATCTGTGTGATAGAAGACTGTGTGTCCTATGGCAAAAGGCATGTACATGCACCAAAGAAAGAAAACATGTTGGAGGCTAGAGGGACAGTTGGGACTGGAGTGTCTGCGTCCCATGACCTGGGGCCCAGGAAGTTGGCAGGAACATAGGAATGGGAGGCCTGCCTTCCCAGGCTCCACTATTCCTCACTCCCTGTTCCCTCTCATCACCAGGCTTCCGGATGCTAAGCTACTTGGGGGCAATGAATATTTGTTGAATTACCCCCTCAGATTCCTCAAAACTCAACTCTGCTAGTTTTTATTTTGGTAGTTTTAGTTAACACATAATTGCCTTCAGCAATTAACACCTAAGAGAGAGTTTGATTCCTCTCCTATCATGTCCTGATTTCCCTTCCAGATACTGTCGCTTCTGAAGACTTGGTGATCAAAGCTGTTGTGGGTAAGAGGGATGTGAACTTGGGGCGAGAGTCTTGTGTCCAAAGGTTGTGGGATTATCATTAAGTGAGGCCAATCAGAAGACTGAAGACTTCAAATGGATAGTTGCCTTTTTTTTTTCAATAGATGATGATCACATGATTTCATGTTTTTAATAACATTTAATAGTTTTTTTTCTGATTGTGAACTGCACGTGTTAATAATACAGAAAATGAGGAAGTATAAATTACCCACAATCTCACTTCCCATAGGCACATTGTTAACATTTTGGAGTATTTTCTGTTTGTTTGTTTTTATCCCAACCCTAATTTTTTTGGTAAAAATCTTGTTTGGGAAATCATTTTTAGTGACCGATTTTTAACATTTATACTTCAACTGTTTAGCACTAGAATGTAATGCAAGATGTATTGTAATAAAATTTGAGTTTTAAGTTTTGCTTTGAAATTATTCCCTCAGGAGTAAGGAGCACAAGAATATGATTGGAGATGTGCTGGAGGATGGGGGGAGTTGTGGGAAGAGGTCAGGGAATTGGTGTTCTTTGCTTTTATTCCCTGGGCCAGAAAGTGTCTGGAAACTGGCAGCTAGTCCCTGGGGCAGCAGTTCACTAGGTACACTTGGGGCTTCACTGTGGTTCAAAGACCATAGGAGTGAGAACAAGTAGCCTCTTTTTAAAAATATATATATTTTTTGATTTCAGAGAGGAAGGGAGAGGGAGATAGAAACATCAAATATGAGAGAGAATAATTCATCAGCTGCCTCCTGCATGCCCCACACTGGGGATTGAGCCCGCAACCCGGGCATATGCCCCAACCGGGAACCGTGACCTCCTGGTTCATAGGTTGCTGCTCAACCACTGAGCCACACCAGCCGGGCCACAAGTAGCCTCTTGAAACACACACACACATCTGTGCCCACCTTTGACAGCAAGAGTCAGAGCAATTGCCATGGCCTTCCCCTCCTCTCAGTAGGTCCATGCTTGTAAAGAAAAAAAGCCCATGACCTTTTAGATCTGTGACCAGCCAATAAGCCAGCTGCCAGTGACAAAGTTTGAGTAGCAATGTCAGGTTCTGGCCCATCAAAAGCAGGAGGTGGATGGGCATAAGTGGGGTCTGCCTACAGAGCTCACCTTTCCTCTTGATTTTGCAGAAATGCTCTCCTGGTCAGGTCTTCTGCATGGAGGTCAATCTACCTGGCAACCCCCTGTGGTCTGAGGATTCACTTTATGGGCAAGAGAAGCAAAGGAGTTCATAGGGCTGATGGAGAGACCAAGGTCAGATTCGCTTAATTTCTAATCCTCTCAGCTGGACAGTGTTAATTGAAGCCTCTGGAAATGAGGGAGAAGAGGTAGGAAACTGATATTAAGCACCTTGTCTAAATTGCACATTATCTTTATCTTGTTTATTTTTTAAAATGTTTTTATTTCAGAGAGGAAGGGAGAGGGAGAGATAGAAACGTCAATGATGAGAATCAGATTGGTTGCCTCCTACACGCCCCCTACTGGGGATCCGAGCCCACATCCTGGGCGTGTGCCCTGACCGGGTATCAAACCGTGACCTCCTGGTTCATGGATCAATGCTTAACCAGCCAGGCTGCACATTATCTTTTAAAATCTGTGAATCTGGACCTAGCCGTTTGGCTCAGTGGATAGAGCGTCGGCCTATGGACTAAAGGGTCCCGGGTTCAATTGCAACCAAGGGCACATGCTTGGGTTGCAAGCTTGGCCCTCAGTAGGGGGCGTGCAGGAGACAGCCAATAGATGATTCTCTCTCATCATTGATGTTTCTTTCTCTCCCTCTTCCTTCCTCTCTGAAATCAATAAAAATAAAATCAAATCTATGAATCTGTTGTGCAAGATCCATTTAAGGTAAACATTGTTCCCCCCTGGACTGCCTCTATCCCAAAAGAAACAAGGCCTGAACAAAAGGGAAAGACATGAATTACTTTCCATCCAGCTGGTGAAGGAAAAAACAATTACCTTTAACATCTAGCTTATACTGGTGCCCTCCCCTCCCCTTTATATACACGTAGAATGTTGAACCTCTAACTGTAAGAGATCTCCTACTTCAGCTCCTTTAAACTGAGGGTCCAGACTGTCAGGTGACTTGCTTACAGCTGCAGAATGAATGGAAAAGAACTAGCAAGAACAAAGGTCTCTGCTTCAAGGCTATTCCTTTTCTCACCTGTAAATCTCCTTCATGCAAATAGTTCACATTTGCAGTCTCATCATTGATGTTTCTTTCTCTCCCTCTTCCTTCCTCTCTGAAATCAATAAAAATAAAATCAAATCTATGAATCTGTTGTGCAAGATCCATTTAAGGTAAACATTGTTCCCCCCTGGACTGCCTCTATCCCAAAAGAAACAAGGCCTGAACAAAAGGGAAAGACATGAATTACTTTCCATCCAGCTGGTGAAGGAAAAAACAATTACCTTTAACATCTAGCTTATACTGGTGCCCTCCCCTCCCCTTTATATACACGTAGAATGTTGAACCTCTAACTGTAAGAGATCTCCTACTTCAGCTCCTTTAAACTGAGGGTCCAGACTGTCAGGTGACTTGCTTACAGCTGCAGAATGAATGGAAAAGAACTAGCAAGAACAAAGGTCTCTGCTTCAAGGCTATTCCTTTTCTCACCTGTAAATCTCCTTCATGCAAATAGTTCACATTTGCAGATTTATAGTTTGTAGAAGACATTGTGTATATATTAGTGTGAGATGGGTATGTCTACCATTGTCATTTACCAACAAGGAAGTCACAATCCGAGTTAACAAGTTAGCTAATCTCCTAGGACTTGGAAGAGATGCTATGGAGAGTATGTGGTTTACTTAATACTTCTCCACGACCCTGGGCTTCCACTCCCTTTCATACCCTTTCTCTCTAATTTTAGAGTTTTAAATATTTATTGCAAGAAAATTTGGAAGACACAGAAAAGTGTAAGAGAAAATGAAATAATCTATGTCATCATTCAGAACCAATATAGCACTTTAAGATTTATTTCCAGTATTTAATGCATAAATATATTTTTACATGGAATCATACTGTACATAATTGTCTTTTATTTTTACATAAGATAATAATGCTTTGTCATTTATGTCAACATCACTTTTAAGACTGTATACATCCCTGCTGGTTTCTGAAGCATAATTTATAGGTAGAATGTGAAAGTCAAAAGGCAATGCTTAAGGCTTCTGGTTTGATTGCCAGAGGCAGTATCTACTCACATCCCACTTGCAACATTAGCGTCCCAGTTTCCCTGAATTGTTAGTTGTGTGAGGGACATCTCAACTCTTGCTTCAATACAGCGTTTTTAATTCCAGCAAGGCTGAACACTTAGTGTGCATTGAATTTATTCTTTTGTTTTGCCTATTTAAGAAACCTTTTTTCTGTTGTGACTTTCTAATGGGGAGACAGTGTAGAGAAACAGAAGGGTTCTGGATTCCTACTGCCTGGTTCAGTCTAACCTCATCACTGTGTAGCGACATGACACAGAGTAAGCCGTGATCCTAAGCCTTCATTCCTCGTCTGCAAAATATGGGCGTCTGACAAATAACGAGTACATATACACAAAGCCTGAACAAGTACCTACTGCGTTTCTTACTGATCTGTGTAAGAACTCTCTGTGTAAAGAATATCCTCCTTCTGTAATAGATGGTGTATCATTCCTAGTTAGTTTGTCCTACCCCTTCAGTTTGGATCTTTGTGGAAGAAAACAGGAGTTGACTAGCTCTTGTTACATGTTACCATCTTTTCCAAATGATTCTCTCCCTTTCTTTTTTCATTCTAAGCTTGTGCAGTTAGCCCTCCTGCCATTCCTGCTGGTTAATACACGCTCATCTGGAGTACTACCTCTCTATTTATCCTCTGCATGCCCATAGGTTTCTATTTTTGGTGAGTGATAACTGTTAGGTATTTTGAATAACGTTTTTCTGTTGCTGGCTAGCTTATACCCCGTTCCACATTGTAGAGAAGTACCAGTCTAGGGGTACTTTTCCGGCCCGGTCCCTCAGAAGATGGGAATCTCTGGATGGATCATGACTGTTGCCACTTCCCTTTAGCTTTGTCTTGAACCGAATTCATGAAAGACTGAATGCTGCTGATATAAAACAAAACTGTGTGTGAGGTGCTTGGAGAATAAGTCACAGACCCAGCAACTGACAAATGTTCTTCAGCACCAGAGCCCAAGGCAGTGCACGAGGAACTATGGGGTGCAGCCCCCAGTGATATGGTAGCCACAGCAGCTTCTGATCCTGAGCACTGGAAGGTGGAAGTTGATAGCAGCTTTGTCAGTCTTACTGGTAGGAACCAAAGATGTCCTTCTGTCTGGGAGAGGGACATTTAGACAGACTCTCAACCTCCAGGCTGGGGTCTTTCTGGCCCCACCCCCACCCCCACAAAAGGTCTAGCCTACAGGTAGGGCAAGGAAACTACTTATTAACCCTTTTTCTGGGTCACACCAGACGAAGACAAAACTCACCACCCTGTGGTCCAAGGACTCCAGAGTTTTTCTATTAACAAACTTCTCCTGGCTCCTACTTTACTGTAGGCACTGCTTAAGGGACTGGCTGCATCCACACGTCTTACAGACCTGACTCTACTTCCCCAGGAACTCACCCGGCATGCTCCACACCAAGGGGACTTTTAATTTCTCAGACTTCCTTCCGGGCCTGTGTCTATGTTCCCCCTCATCCTTCAGATCATTTTCCCTTGACCGAGGTTGGGTTACGGACTCCTTAATGGCACGTGGCACTGATCATACTAGTGTCATTGCTGGTTTGCCCTGCTCATTAAACTGTACAAAATGTCTTCATTTTCCATTATACCTAGTTCCTGGCACAAAGCAAGCACTCAAAAAGAACTGCTGGATAAATTAATCTGAATTATTGTCTCACTCTGGTTGGCCCTGGGCTCATTAAATCACTAATGAAACTGTTCCCCTATCGGTCTTGCTGTCCTGTCACTGTTCTTAATTGATTAGTAAACTTTTGCATTCCTGAGACAAAATGTCCCTCATATTGTCCACACCGTCCCCCAAGCCTGGCACACCAGCGATCCGACGCAGTGACAGAGCATGGACTGCTTACCCTCTTCATGACATTCTCCTGGAAACTGAGGTTTCAATGCAAAAGTCCCATTTTTCCTATTTCCTGAGTATTCCTAATGATGATAGAAAAGGAGGAAGCAACAATTCTTCCATCTACTGTTCTGACTAGTCACAGGAAAAGCTTTCAAGGGACAATGTGCATGCGCACGGGGGAGTGCTGCATAAAGTCAGACTCACTCGAGACCTAGGAGTTCACAACCTTCATGGAGTCTTGCTCAAAGTAAACCCTTTTGATGAACAAACATAAACATTTGACAGAAGTATTTACAATATTCATTGTATTCACCACTTACTTCACAGTGTGGACTCTCTGATGGCGCAGGAGGACTGATCTGTGCCGGAAAGCCTTCCCACATTCATTACATATGTAAGCCTCATCCCCAGAGTGGATTCTCTGATGCTGAACTAGGGCTGAGCTCCTTTTGAATGTCTTGCCACATTCAATACACTGATAAGGTTCCTCTCCACTATGAATTCTCTGATGTCTAATGAGGTTCGAGCTCAAACTGAAGGCTCTTCCACACTCATTGCATTCATAGGGCTTCTCTCCACTATGTATTCTCTGATGGGTTATCAGCTCCGAGCTCTGCCTGAACGCTTTCCCACATTCATTACATTCATAAGGTCTCTCTCCTGTGTGGATTCGCTGGTGTCTTACAAGCTTTGAGCTTTGGCTAAAGGTTTTCCCACACTCATTACACTCATAGGGTTTCTCACCAGTATGAATTCTTTGATGGATGATGAGATATGAACTTTGACTGAATGCTTTGCCACATTCATTACACTTACAAGCTTTCTCACCTGTATGAATTTTCCGATGTCTAATGAGGGCCGAGCTCTGATTGAAGGCTTTTCCACACTCACTACATTCATATGCTTTCTCACCACTGTGGATTCTCTGATGAATAATCAGATACGACCTCAAGCTAAAGGCCTTCCCACACTGGCTGCATTTGTAGGGCTTTTCTCCGGTATGGATTCTCTGATGTTGTGTTAGAGAGGAATGCTGTTTAAAGCTGTGCCCACATACATCACATCTATGAGGTCTCTCTTCCGTAGGAACTTTCTGAAATGTTCTAGAGCTTGTACTTAGAATCAGGCTTCTCTGGGGCTCATGGTGGAATCTCTTTCCTAGAGATCTGTGTGTGATGGCTTGACTACAACTGCCTGCTGGGGAAGGGGAGCTTCCTAATTTCTCCCCTGAAGCACTTCCTTGCAGCCTCTTGAAGTGGCTTTTGTGTTCACTAATTCTTCCGAATGAGAGTTCCTGGAGAAGTCCTGCTTTTCCTCCTGAAATATCCTTCTTTGCCGCTGATCCATTGTTCTCACAATCTGAAATGATAATAGCAAAAACCAGATTTTTAGTTTCTCCAATCACTCTCAATACTCACTTTCTATGTGACAGAAAACAGATGCTCCAACCACAAAAGATGTCACTATTCATATATATCTGTAACACTGACTCTGTGGACAACACCTCCCTTCCAGAAACAGCTATATTAGCCTGATTTCTGTGGCTGTTCCTTCTCAGAGTCAAGACCAACCACTCAAACATGAGTTCCTTCTAATTTTGTGCTGGGCTCTCACGTATCATGCCCAGTCTACAAAATGTCCATCCCCTAGACTTCAATTACTAATGTACTTACGTTATACGCTAATCAGATCCCCAGTTCTATCCTGTTTCCTCTGATAAGCTCTAGACTTGCATATCCAATGCTGACTGGACATATTACTTGTGAATATTTCACAAGCACCTAAATACATCATCCGTGTGTTTTTTCCTTTATGTTTTCCATGTATATGAAATAGGCCCACTATTAACCAAGCAGTTTTAAGACTGAAACCTGAAACCTCAACTCCTAGCCACATGCTCCACTTTAACAATGACCAGCTACTGCAATACAATAAATACCGATAAGCAGGAGTCGCTTTGATATTCCCCACCTCTCACCACAATACACCTTGATTTATTCACCGTGGCCACTTGATTATAACAGTTTCTAACAGGGCTCTATCTACTCTTACCTTAAAATGCATTCTCCATCCTGCAACTAAATTTTAAAACACACACCCAATCATGTCATTCCCTTGTCCAAATCCCTTCACATGTACCCACTGCACTGTACAAACTAAGTAGAATGACATACAGGTTTCCACAATCTGGGTCCCATTTTCCTGTCTAGTTTCTCTTACCACCTCTCCTCTATAAATTCTCTGTTCAAGTTAAATTGAATTTTCTGCAATTCCCACAATGGGCTATAGTCTCTCACCTTTAGGACTTTGCGGCCTTTGCTTGTGTGATACTATCTAATAAAGAGGGAATATGCTAATTGACCCTCACACTGTCACAAAGATGGCAGCACCCACAGCCAATGAGGGAATATGCTAATTGACCACCCTGCCCTCAAAAGATGGCGGCGCCCACAGCCAATAAGGAGGGACTATGCGAATTGACTGCCTGCCTTCAAAGATGGCGGTGCCCACAGCCAATAAGGAGGGAACATGCTAAATGACTGCCTGCCCTCAAAGATGGCGGTGCCCACAGCCAATAAGGAGGGAATATGCTAATTGACTGCCTGCCCTAAAAGATGGCGGCGCCCAGTCCCATCAGCCCCGCCGGGGTGGCAGCCACGTGCCTGCCTCCGGAGTCCCCCAGTCCCCTCAGCCCCCCAGGGCTGCCCGAGGTTCAGGTAACCAGGGCCGGCTGAGGCTTGCGCTGCTGGCAGTGGCAGCAGCAGAGGTGTGATGGAGCGTCACCTTCCCCTGGTCACTGGGTCGCCTCCTACCCGAGGGCTCCCGGACTGTAAGAGGGGGCAGGCCGGGCTGAGGAACCGCCCTCCAGTGCATGAATTTTCATGCACCAGGCCTCTCGTATTATAATTAACTAGAGGGCCGGTGCATGGGTAGGGTCCCTAGGCCTGGCTGGCCATCAGGGCCAATCGGGGCCTTCCGGCTGCTGGCCAGGGTCTTTCTTCCTTTGTTCCACACCGCCCCCTGGTGTTAAGCGCACATCATAGCGAGCGATTGAACTCCCAGTCTACTGGTCAAACTCCCACGGGGACAATTTTCATATTAGGCTTTTATATATATAGATATTTGTTCTTCATCCCCAGTTCTGGGCACAGTGTTTAAATTTCCTAAGTGGTAGATGTGAGAGGAGTGCCTTCTGTTATTCATAAGCCCCTACCAACCATACCTGGGTTTATGCTAATGAGTTGACTCTTGGAGGAACCAACCAAGTGATTAGAACATTGGAACTTTCAGCCCCATTCCCTGACCTTCAGGAAGAAGGGTTGGGTTGAGTTAGCTAATCATCAACAGCCAATGATTTAATCAATTGTGCCCAGGTAATGAAACCTCCATAAAAACCTTAAAGGGGTTCAGAGAGCTTCCAGGATGGTGAATGCATCCAAGTGCCAGGAGAATGGCACCCCAATCTTCACAGCTACAGAAGCTCTGCACACAGGACCTTTCTGGACTTTACCCTATGTACTGCTAGTTCATTTGTATCCTTTATAATAAATCAGTAGTAGTAAGTAAGGTGTTTCCCTGAGTCCTGTGAGCCATTCGAGCAAATTATGAAACCTGAGGAGGGGTCGTGGAACTGCCAATTCACAAAAGTCAGATGTGTGGGTAACCTGGACTCGTTACATGCAATCGGCATCTGTAGTGGGGGTCAGTCTTGTTGGACTGAAACCTTAACCTGTGGGATCTGCACTCATTTTGGGGAGCTAGTGTCAGAACTGCTTACTGTGAGGGAAAACCTCATACATCCAGTGTCAGAAATATTGAGACAGTCTTTTCCTTTAGCCTATTTTCCCACCTATTTACCTGGCTTCTTCCCACTTCTAGTTCAAGTCTTAGATGTGTCTTTAAGAATTATTCCTTGAACCGCTAAGATTGGCTATAGTGCCCAGTGCCTACTCTTATTCTATAATTTACTACACTATACTGCAATTGCCGTTTTGCTTGTCCACCACCTACATAAACCTGAAAGTTCCTTGAAGATAGAGACCCAGTGCCTATCACCATATCAGACATGTATTAGTATCCAGGTAAGATATATAATGAAGGAATAAGTAAAGAAACAACAGGGAAACTGACAAAAGGAAGCCTGACTGTGATTTGTTAAAGTTGCTGAATAAAAAGTGGCTAAATTCTAGGTCAGAGCACCTCTGGCCTAGAATAATAAAGATGAGGCTTACATGTGGCATGTTTGTAAAATGCAATTCATTGTGTATCTTCAAGGCCAGAGGCCTAACTGATAACAGTTCCCAGATGAGTTTCTGTTTCTTACCACTTTGGGAGGAAAGGCAAGGTTCCCAAGGTTTCAGCTGTGCCTTTAAAGGTTGGAGTATGATGTTTGACTCTTGGGATGCTCCAAGACGTGTCCAATCCTTCCAGGGTAATGCTTGTCCTTGTGGACTAGCTGGAATCTGAAACCAGTAAAATATGGTTAGCGTGGTGAGAAAATCCTTAGGGAAACGCTTACTAAAAATCTCAGAGGTTAACAAAGGCATCCCTGGGCATGAGGGACAAGGGAAAAACAACTACTTATGGTAGAGAAGGGCATGGCCCTAGTAGTCACGTCAGGGTCATGGTTCAGTAGAGACAAATTTTCATCCTACTGTTATGATGACACCACATGCTCCAGTGTGTAAATTCCTTTTCCCACAACATAGTGCATCTCTCAGTCCCCACCTGCTGTCCAGGATCATCAAATTCCCTCTCCAAATCCTCCAACAGAGTCACAGCTTCCTCGCCACTTTTTGGACCATATTGCTGAACCCAGGCCTGCAGCTCCTCGGGCAGGATGCTCAGGAACTGCTCCAGCACCAGCAGCTCCAGAATCTGCTCCTTCGTGTGCAACTCCGGCATGAGCCACTGGTAGCACAGCTCCTGGAGTCGGCCCAGGGCCTCCCGGGGCCCAGGTGTCTCCTGGTAGCAAAACTTTCTGAACTGCTGGCGAAACAATTCTTGGCAAGATCGGGTACTCCCATTCTGCTTTAATTTCTGCCCCCAGGGAAGGCTTTCTTCTACTTTCACTAGTATTAGTTCTCGTTCCTGAGGATCTGGAGGTAGCAGGGTTGAAACGGCTCTGGATTCCACAGCCATTCCGGCCTGAAACAGCTGATAAAAAAACTCACAACTGGGTTCTCTACTTCAGAAGTTCTTTGAGTAACCTCTTCTTTCCTGAAGGGTGAAAAAGCTGTTAACTTACAGCAGTGAAAAAAAAACCTCGAAGAACCGATAATAATAAACATCAGTCAGCCCAGTAACATTCTGAAAGGGAGCTAGTTTGAGATTGTAAATAAATAATAATCAAGTGACAAACTAAAAATCACTCATGTCTTTCTCTGTCTCCTATTTTGTAGGATTTCTACCACCAATTCTATAAGAAATTATTTTAGAAGCAAAACAATGCAATATTAACATGAGTCACATACTGAGAAATTTCCTTTTTAATTCTTTCAATTCTGATGCATCGAGGAGAAAAATCTGTCTTTAACACGTATGTAAAACTTGCAGAACTCTTTTTAAAAATATATTTTTATTGATTTCAGAGAGGAAGGGAGAGGGAGAGAAACATCAATGATGAGAGAATCATTGATCGACTGCCTCCTGCAGGCCCCCCACTGGGGATCAAGCCTGCAACCCGGGCATGTGCCCTTGACTGGAATCAATCCTGGGACCCTTCAGTCCACAGGCCGACGCTCCATCCACTGAGCCAAACCAGCCAGGGCAGAACTCCCTCTTTAATAAAGTTATACGTCTCACACTACCAAGGGTAACAGTATCTAGCTCGGATTTAAAAATGCTGATTTAAAAATATATATTTTTAGTAATTTATCTATGGCAAATAGTGTCGATTCATTTAAGGTAGTAAAACACTTTTTAAAAATGCATATTAAACGTTATTTGATTTAAATAAAAAATATTGTTGACTATTTGCCATTTGATCAATGTTGGTATTCACTGAATTTCTTCAAGGATCACTGAGGAACGAATTACGGGCTCTGTCCGGAGCCCCGTAATAGGATGCAAAGGTGTTTGCTCCTGAATAAATGCCTCTCCCTAGGAATAACCAGGAAGAACTTGTTAAATGCTTACCACGTGTTCCAAACCCTGTATATAGAGACACAAGTGAAAAGCCAGTCTCAGCTCTCAAGAAGCTTAGGATAAACCGGAGTAAACATTTTTAAAAAGTGAAATATGGCAACGAGCACGTATTATATTTTCTGATAAAGGTCAGGCAGGCTCTGCCGTTGGGATGGGGGACTGTCCACAGGAGGGTAGGTATGCCCTTGAGCGAGCAGGACAGTAACACTTAACCCTAACACGCCCATCAGCTGGCGAGGTGAGAATATTGAGGCTGCGAATCTGTGGCTTATTCAGCTCCGCCGCACCGGCCTTTCTACTTTATATTCGGTTCGGCCGCAGCATTTGCAAGATCGGGGCGGTGGGGAGCAGTGCCCTCCCCGCGGGACGCAGGGACCCGAGCG